AAGATGGAAGACACTGAAGTAGCTACATTGATAAATCAATATTTATCCCCCAAAAGTACGCAAATCGAACTTAAGGTTGTAAAAGTATGTGTAGTGCAACACCAGAATTCCATAGTTGCTGTAATTAATTCTCCAGCAAAGTGTTGATTGGAATACCTCTAACCTCAGACTCAAAAACAGCCAAGAAGCTATCTGTAAGAACATCAAATCACACTTCTCTGACAACAAAATATGTGTCAGAGAATCAATTTATTCCATTTCACACACCAACTGATTAAAAGCAATTCAGTTCCAATTCCACCACACATAGGAGAGAGCTTCAAAGCCTCGTGAGAAATAAAATCAAAAGATAATGGACTTTTCCCACATTTTTAAAAGAGCCTCCTCATATAGCATGTCTTCCTCTGAACCACCAGTTCCCAAACTTACTTGGCCTTCTATCTCCTTTTCAGGAAAAAATTACTCAGCATCCTCCTGGTAATTAAAAACCCCTCTACAACAGCCCAGAACCCAAAATAAAGTGCAGGTATCTGGTTTTACAGGTATCATTTTACAGATGATTCCAGTGACCCCCCAGGAACAGTAAAGGCGACTTTGGGCAACACTGCTCTGAACCTAAGCACCAGGAGCTCGGTCAGATTTTACCGATCTAAGGGTACAGTGCTCCAAACAGCACACCTGCTCAAGCCCTCAGATGCCAACCACAGCTTGAAAGTCCCCAGATTATCTTTGCTTCCGACCTGCTGGCTCTAACCACTCGCTAAGTTTGACAACACTCTAGAACAGCGGTTTTCAACCTGTGGGTCACAACCCTTTTGGGAGTTGAACGACCCTTTCACACCCAATTCATCACAGTAGCAAAATTACAGTTATGAAGTACCGATGAAAATACTGTTTTCGTTGGGGGGTCACCACCACATGAAGAACTATATTAAAGGGTCGCGGCATTAGGAAGGCTCTAAAAGGACATGACCAAGTTTTTTGGATAAAGTTAGTTCCTCTCTCCACAGGATCATTCCCTTTCAGTGCCTATCCCTAAGACCACAATCCACTCATGGCAGCAAAAGAGTTGAGTGAAATAGGTGAATCCAGATAGATCAAATTAGACCTGAATGAAGCACAGACACGGCTATACAAACAGACTGTGCCACTACTGTTAGCACGGCACAAAGAGGAAAAAGCGCTTCCTTCATTCCCTTGCCACTCACTGCCGAGTCCCTTCCACTCAGAGCGACCCTGTAGGGCAGAGCAAACGGT